GACGGCAGTGCAGACTCTATTGATGGGTCAAAAGTACTGCATTTCTGGGTGGGTTGCCACAGCAGTACACAGGCTGCTATTCACCACTCAGGCCCGCCTGACACTTTCCAATTATCATAATCTCGGCACTCACAATATCTTTGTACTGGATCAGGCTCGTACACAAATCCAGGACCACCGGCTTGCTGTGGCCTTCAATCCACCTAAAGTGGTTCACAATTATACGGTATGTGACCGGCATTGTGGACCCACCGCCTGTGCAGAGGCTTGGAAGGACGCGTGGTGGGGAGGATTCGCACGACACTACATCCACCCCGATACTCACATCAGCCCGCAAGAAGCCATGGCCAAACTTGAAAATGTTCTCATCCTCGACATGACTACTGAGTGCTACCTTAAGACAATAGAGTTCATCGCTGCAAAGGGAGTAATAGCGAAAGAGGACGCTTATGTGGCTGCCACCGTAGTAGCATTGACGTAGCACGCTTCCATGTACTGTTAACAGAGAAGTCACGTGATAGCTCGTTGTTTAGGATCTAATGCGAGATATAGTACAAATCTTATTGCCTTAGGGATACATCATGGGGAATCTTGGTGTGAGTGTGCGCAAGAAGTCTAAAAGTGCGCGCGTAAAATTTCTTAGTGCGCAACTTTGCGCTGACTAAAAAAATTACTCAAACTTTGCGCTAAATTTTAAAAGTGCATTTTGACCGTCATAGTCGGCTGCCTTAAATACATGAAGACTAGTACTAATTATAATCTATTCCATTGTTCATTCTACTTCTTTATCCTTTGTCCCTTCTCCTTTGTCTGCACGGAACCCGCGCACGTCATCATGCCGAATTAGTAAGTTCGTCAAACTGAGGACAACTTTTCTCACGCTTACCACCACCACCAAAATCCCAAAATTCCCAATCTCACCTACTATAGTTAGTACATCGCGAACAGACACTAGCTACAATACAAAAGCCCACACAGAAAGAGGCACAAAATGGGTCATGCCATCCAACGCAGAACCCCCGCGGCGCCAGCTCCCCAAACGAGAGCCAGCAATCAGCCGGCCATGTCCCGTAGCGACTAAGCAGTGTTTACAGCAAGGCCGGCCACTGAAGTGGTCCTTCACGCTGTGCACCCAATGATCATGATAATCACGGAGGGCGCTGGCGGAGGCCTACGGCAAACAAACTTTTGTCGACGGTAACCCCAAGCTCCCAACCCCAGTGGAAACCGACTCGACTTAGGGCTGCGCGTAATGAAATAGAAAGTCGGAACACCCCACGCTCTGCGATGGCTAAGGAGCAGCACAATAAGGGCAGCAGAGAATAAGGATGGGGGGCCGGATAGATGAAAGACAACGCAACCGCCGATAGCTTCCCGTCAAGAACCATCTTCAAACTTAGGCGCCAAAAGTTTCAACTGCCCGATATATATTTGTGCCTCCAACGCCAAACGATGGACCGTGTCGTCACGTCTCTGACGTGACGGGATCGCACTGTTTGCCACCGCTACGAGAACTTCCTTGCTTTCGCGTACATAGTTGGGGTAGATAGTCTGTTGAATCTGTTGAATCTATCGTGATGATATCTCAAAGACCCAATTGTCGTATATATATTAAATAAAGCTTCTCACTCAACGATTGCCTACAGAGCGCCCATTCTCACTTGTGATTGCCCCGTCCCGGCTACCTCTAGGGCTACCTGGCGCGCCACGGCCCTGAGGGGGGACACTGCCCCGTCTGCTCTGTCCACCAACAGCACTCCACATATTTCCCATGGCGCTTGTCATATTCGCGATGGCCTGGTCCCTGCGTGTCAATGGCGCTTGCTGGCCATGTCGGAAGTACCGCATTAGTACTGCTACCAGTGATCGGAATCAGCGGATGCAACGTACTTTGATGCCAAACAAACGGATTTGCGTGCCAGCCCAGGGGCCTTGACCAGGACCGCTGGAGACATACACTTCACCCCAAAGAAGGCTTGCCCGCCATACTTCGCTTCGGTCTGTCCATTGGAAACGGCGCGATATGATTGGCGGTGCGGGTGGTAGGATCCCGACGAGCGTAGCTGACGCAAGAAAAGAGGCTGCACTCGAAGGAGTTTTGAAGGTCTGAACCTTGGGCAAAAGCTGAACAGAGGGGTGATATCAGCGCGGCCCACTGGAGCAACCATACAGACCCACTTCGGAAACAGCAATTAATATTGAATCAAGTGGTAATCCTTGAACCCATGATTGCACCCACTCCTCTGTCGCGACGAAGCCACTGGCACTCTCGTAACCTAGAATGCTACTTGCATTCGCGGCGAATGCAGGGCTCGCAAGGGACCCGACCGAGGGGCTGCGTGCCCTTAATTTACCTCGTGCTTTCTCACTCAGTCCACTGACTGGTGACTGGGACGCGACTTCTTGATCAGGACCCACAGCATTAGCGGCCAGAGTCTGCTCTCTATCACGTACTCGTTCTTTCTCTTCATGCGCTGAATGCTCATTTGTCTCGTCCTCCACTGTCTGAGCAGTCTGAGCGACTAGCTGTTCCGGGGATCCAGAGCGCTTCTGATCGGGGGTTAATGCACCAGTCATACGAAGATGGTCTTCTTTTGCTGCCTTAGCACGTGTTATTTCGGCAAGTGCGGTTGGAAGCGTAAATGTGGCGAGAGCGTGAAGGCGATCATTGGCTCTCAGAATGGAATAAATGAGATTTGGGTTGTCTATGCCTGTGGGGTGAGCAATCTTTGTAAAACAAGTAATGTAACAGACAAACAAACCTGAGAACTGATGGTGAATGATATGAGTGAAACACTCAAGCCTAATAACGATATGAGATTAGGATGCCAAGGTTATTTTTTAAGTGCCACTCACATCCAAAATACACAGCGGGGGTTGCCTTCGTCTGCCAGGAGGAATTGCGGACTTGCGAATGCCTGGAATAAAGCCGTGAGCCGGCTTGCGCTTTGCACGCTGAGACCTTTGACATAAGGTGCAACATTTCCTAGCGTGACAAGTAGGGGCTGGTAGAGGCCTGCATGTTGCCCATTTGTGCCCGCAATCAAGGTATATACGGCGTTCACAAGAGCATCGCTTGCACGAGTGGCGGTACTATGGGGTAGGGGGGAAGAAAGCATTACTGCAAAAGTACGATGTGACGAAAGCGTTTGGAGCAAGTAGCATAATGTACGAAGAAGCGCGAAATGTGGAGGAGAGTCTTTGTATGTCGCCATAGTCGAAAAGAGATTGGAAACAATCGCAAGCAAATGAGGAGATGCGAGGAGATAATTGGTGAATTTCTGTGGGAGCTTGAGCTTGTATCGTATCGGGGACATCTAAGAACATACCCTGTTAAGATCTATAATCCTCCAGAACAAAACCCAAGCCTCAAGGGCTCCTGGCCCATTGCCCCTCCTGCCCACGGGGACAGCCTTGGTTACGCCGTTGACTAAGCCGCCCTTGGCAGCCTCTGCATCTAATGCATTCTTGACGCCGTCGATCATAAATGCAAAATCTTGTTCGCGGTGTAGCTTCGCAATAGCCTTTTGATATACATTTGGGCGGTCACCCTCTTGGCATAAAAATACTAGCAAACTTTGCGCAGCACGTTGTGGGTATAAATCTTCGTCTCTTGTGACTTGGCCGATATACCGTGCGGGAGGGGGGGTGAGAGTTGTGTTAAGAAGAGAACATAGAAGTGCGAGATAAGTTTTACGTGGAAGGGTCGAGAGGTGGTCAAGGACGGGTGAGGGCTGTTGACGGAGACTGATGGGAGTAGCATATAGGGGATGAGACATAGCGGTAAGCAAGGTTAACAACAAAGTCGACCGGTATGCAGGAATGGGTGCAACGGCAACAGGTGCACTCGAAGAACCCACACCCGAGGCCCTGAACGAGAGATGAGCTATAAGGAAGTCTGAGAATATATGTTATACCAGATAACGTATGACGTCTTCACCGTCCCATCGTCAACGTCCGCAGGTAATGTGAAGCCGGTGTGGAAAAGGCTGTCAATGAGAGCGTTGACGAATCGAGCCATCAAACTGGGGGATTTCTTTTTCGTGGGCCCCTTAACTTCTACTCTGGTCTGTTCTGCATCAGGCTCATCCTCGTCCTCGTCTTCGATAACGAACTGCGCCTGGGCCTCGTTATCAATCGGCGTCGAATCCGCCTCCTCGTCCTTCTCTTCCCACAGCCAACGAGTCCAGTCGGAATCATCTTCCCAGATGAGAGGCAGCACACGGGCAATGACGCGGGCGCAGTTAAGAACCGAGCGGACATCGTCCGCTGTCGTGTTGCCACTCCAAGGCGAAAGAGGCAAGGCGGGCAAGGTGAAAGTGCCTGCTGAAGTTGGGCGAGGGAAAGTGGGAGATCTTACGAGTCTAATAAACTGCGCTGCAAGGACAGTGAACAATGTGCGGACATTTTCAGGACACTGTTGCAAGGCTGTTCTGACTATTGGCCCAGACTGCAGTGAGGGAAAGAGGAGAAGAAAGAGAGGCAAGACACACTATGCTGAGGCGTAATGAGCGTATTGACATCCTCCACAGAGTCAAATAGTTCCCAGTACTGTTTCCAGTAGCTTGTTTCATCAGGTGGGATAGTCTAAGACACATGCTCAGCATGGGTACAATCTGCACGAGATATAGTACCAACATTACGCGAAAGGCGTGCTAAACCGTTCGATGCATTGCGGAACGTAAGTTTTGGTGGGTCCGACGACAGTCCAGGTACCGAAGGCAAGCGAAACATGACTTTGGGTCCTGTGTTGAACGTTGAACAGTGAGTATGGCAAAGGTGCCAGGCACGCAAGCTGTGGCTCACAGGCTTAGTCGGACTGATGACTATAATCGTTTATTTGAACCCCTGTGCACGCACTGTCTACGGTCTATCCCTTAGGGAAAGAAATTGGTGTCTCCAACGGATACGATCAAGGAGAGGGATAGGGCACGTGACGTGGGAGTTGTGGCATGAGGGCTGCTGCAGTTTGTATACACATGTTCCGCTAACAAAGTATCTGCCCCATGGCTTAGTTGGCTATAGCGTCCGACTGTTAACATGGGTTGATGATCGGAAGGTCGAGAGTTCGAGCCTCTCTGGGGCAGTTTATTTTGAGCTGCGACGGTCGCAATCAGGGGCAAAGCTTGGGGGAGTGTCCGTCCTGATGGCTCAGATAACGTTTTCCCTATGCTACAGTTGTAAATCTAGAATCTGTTTTGCAAAATACCCGCTACTTCTCGTGATGTGGCCGCGGCGCCGTAGGTTTACACTGTAAGCTTGTATTGTGTAATGTCTGCTACCATTGTACGAGCAAGGTCAGTAGCACCGAGGCTAGTTTCCATGGTTGCGGTCTAAGAACTAGGGAAGAGACGCAAAAATATATCTTCTGGAATCAGTTTGAAAGTGAACGTTCACTCACGTCTCCAGCTGAGAACAAACTGTACGTGCGGTATCAGTGCCGCTTCTGTCGGTATTGGTCTAAATGGATTATTCTGGTGAGTCCGGTTGAGCTTAAAGCCTCATATTAAGCCGAGGATTATGTGAAAACCGTCTCCTACCTCAGCATCGTCATGATAATTCAAACTGTGGCTGACGTGTTCGTCACTCTTTCACTTGTTTTCGCGCGTTATTTCCAAGCAGCGGTAAGCGTTCATTCATTGACACATTATTATCTCACTTGCTGATCTGGACGCATAGTCACTGCAGTCAAACGCTCTCATTTCTTCATCTAGTGCGACGTGGAGGCCAACTGCACTGACCCCCCCTGTGACTGTGTGGTTCCATTTCTTTTGGCCCGAAGAAGCTGCCTTTTATGTCAGGCCAGCATCCCTCGGGAGTCCGCCGTTTCAATCCTGTTAGATGGTATGTTCAATTGACTAAACATACATGGAATTAAGAAACTCATGCAGCCGAAATGAAGTGTCGCCGAGAGGGGTTCAAAGTTGATTTTCACTTGATTTCCCACCAGTGGCTGCGGCGATTGTCTCGAATTTTGGGCATGATGGCGCATGTGTGTATCAATTCTCGAATGCGTCCGCTGAAACCACATTCATACGTCACTTGTCGGGAAATCAGTGCTCGCAAGGGGCTGAGTATATTTACTGCACACAGAGATATGCCATCAACACCTGTCCCAATCCGGGTTATCATTCAACCTGCTCAATTATCACTGAAAGACGGGTGAACATCGCGACGTACGATGTATGTCACCCAGCGAGTCTGCCTCCGTAAATCGTTGCGCGTACATAGCGCCAGAACTTCCAGGACAGCAAGGAAACACGTGAGTTTCGTATTGAAATGAAATGACAGTGTATATACCAGGATAGACGAGGGCCAATGTCGAACAGGCAGTCATTACCTGTGCACCCGCTGTGAACGCAGCTTGTATCAGACAAACAACCCGCGACATTTTTCCGAGTGAATTGACGGTAGTATTGCGAACGGTACCACGATAAAGGCTGGCGTGAAATGCGAGGTAAATCAACACTACACAGAAATAATAATAATACTGACAGGCACAACACTGTAAAAGATCCAAGTGATGCATAGATTCAGGAATGTGCAACCGCGGTGAGCCTGGCGAGAGAACAATCCTGATGCAACGATAATGGCCAAGCCAATCAGTACTTCCCGCATGCGATGTTCAAAGCCAAGAAGGCGGCCTGACTCCTTCGGAGGGCTGTACGTCGTCGACCGCAAGTCAGCATTACTTATTACATTACTTATTACGGGGCACCCCACAGCGGGAAAGCGGTTTACTGCGTAACGCTTGTGCTCCTGACCATTACTGCGATTTTCAAAGGTACGACGCATACAACTGTCGTCGGCCCTCGTATACGCTGATCCTCATTTCCTGAAGTGCTCATCGTCACCATCCTGTTCACGCACTGGCGAACCTTCCGGCACGTCCAAAGGCCTGTCTCTCTTTCCATACCAGTTTTGATGCGCTGTCTGGCGTTGAATCGGTCTTTATCGCGCCGTAGTCTTAATGTATGTTCATACATTATCCCCTTCTCCCTTGATGTATAAAATCTGGTCCCCCTCCATAGTGCGTATGGAGTCCTCCTCGTCAGTCCATCTAAGTTGCACCAGGACTCACCACTGGCGGGTAACGACGCCTCTACTCCTTTCCATTTCGGTATCCCAATTTGGGTTGATATGTTGCAAGCGGCGAGTAGGTTCTTCCTTGCCATATTGAGTTCTCTGCTGTGACAAGCATGTTTCATAGTCCCCCTGGATTTCTTGTTCTCGCCCTTAACCGCGTTAAGTGGGATGTTTTTTCGCCCATGGTCGTTGTTTCACCTAAGAACATGATTAAATCCTTGATGTTCTGGCGCATGTGCCGGCCTAACCGCAACAGTACAGTCAACCAATGTCACGAGCGTTGAACAGCGCATGTAGTGAAAGACGATTCTCAACGCGGCCAGCCGTTTGATCTGCCTGGCGACATACCACGATGCCTTTGACATCGTTTCTCCCTCCTCCCCTAGTCGCGAGCGAGTTCTATATCTCTGAGTTGCTGGGAATGTTAAAAGCATTTTTCCACGCAATAGTGTAGATGACTACGGATATGTTACAATATCTCATACCCGTTCATGCCGACGAAGGCCAGATACGCTTAGCAGCATTTACGACTAGTGTTAACTTTCGCTGAACGTCCTCTGCTGTCACCAAGTTACCTTCGCTGTGGGAAGCAAATCCACACTGAGGGCTAATGCACAGCCTAATTAAAGGGCCGTGATCAAATTTAAGGGAAGGCTGAATTCCACGAGCATAAACTTACTGGTTTAGAGCCTCTTCGACGGTCCTCTTTTGTTGCCCATTGGCTACAATTTCTGCTGCAGCTCGAACACGTCTCTCGAGGTCATCAATGTCCTCAAGCTAAGTCAACATGTATGAGGAATAAGTCCTACTACGCCTTGCTGGATTTGCTAACCTGACGGATCTTGGTCGAGATCAAACCAAGGACCAGACTTTTGTCTGGAGGAAGGAACTTCAATGGTTCAAAGGTTCCGGCCCGCTCGGTATCGTACTCGAGCTAACGTAGAATAACTGGATTAGTATTATGCTGATACAGTGGGAAAGATATACAGTACATAATAGGTGTCCACGTTTAATTCGTTGAACAACTTGATAGCGATGCGATCATATCCACCTTCAGCGAAATGTCTCCCGTCCTATAGTAATCTACGTCAGAGTGCATCCTTTCTTACCTCAAAGTGGCGGAGACCTACCTTGAAATTTCCTCGGCACAAATGTACACCTGCAGTCATGTCGGCGGGTTTCTCTTTCAAGCAACTGTTATAGGTGCTAATATACAAATCAAGTAGTGCCTCGTGATCAATACCTGGTGACTTCTGTCAGCATGAAGTAGCCATCTACATAAGATGGTTTGAAAGGGTCATACCGTCCTTCTCCATGCCATCCAACATGGACTCTGCGCAGAAGTACGCGAGCATGGGATCATCAAACTGATCATATTGTCAGCAGCGGGACAAAGAAGACAACGGTCTAGATAAATAAAGCCTTAGGTATGACTTGCCTGAATGTTGCGGCACCCAACAGAATAGAGCTCTGCAAGTTCTTCACGGTATGCCTTGGCAATGTCCGCAAAATATTCAGCTGAGGAACATCCCGTCAGAACCTTGAAACAGGCGGTAAACAGAGCTATACCATCATTCTTGTAGACAGTTTTCGGGTAACTAGATGACCAAGTTCTAAGGATCAGTAATACAGCAAAATCAAGGTTAGAAGTATCGCTCACGCGTAAGGTCCGTGACGCAGATGGAACCAGTGAGGCACACACATTGTGAGTTTGATGTTCTTAACTTCCTACATACAAGTATGTGAAAATGATAAGGATAGAAAACCGAGTTGATTGACCTCTGGAGGCACAAATTTGGCAAGGCCCAAGAATTGATCTTTATAAAACGGTCTGGTACGCTCAAGTTTATCCTGGAGATTTGGTCTTCAGGTTAACGGAGCAATGATGAAGCGGTGAACCCTTACAACGCAAATGTATGATGCGGCATTTTTGAAGTCGTGCTCCTGGAAGGCCAGGATGTCCGGGACGTAAGTCTAAATCGATTGTTGTCAGGTAATTAGGATCGGCCGCGATGTGGCCGTCGTACCATAAACATGTGTTGAGGTACTACGAGACACAGGTTGAGCATTCATATCACGGTGGCTTCACAGCGACAGCACGGTGACAGCACGTGCCTGGTGTTAGGTACTTCATCCCGACCATGTTGTCAAAGACACCATCATAGAACATGTGTCTACGGCAGTTAGACCTTTTGATTCACAACAATGACATAATCTCACCTTCTAAACTCCCCATCGGTGACGGCCTTAATCCCAATGTTCCGCTGCTGTGCAACAATCTCGGCAATATAGTTGTCCTCTACTATTTGGAGTTCCGCAGGTGAAATCTTGCCTTGGTCGAGCTGGGCCCTTTTCTGGAGCAGCTCATCCGGACGCTTCAAGCTACCAATATGCTCTGCACGGAATGGAGGCCGCAGATGCAGGAGTGAGGACATGGGGGTCTTTGAGTATAATCTCGGGGCTCATGAGGTGAGAAAGCTAGCTGGTTTATAGTATCGGCCGGACTGGCAGGCAAATCATTTTTCCATTTCACGACCAGTAGTACTTCCAGAGCCTGCAATTAGCTAGTCCACTTGGCAACGGCGGGTAACGTGTTAGTTCGGGGCTCTTGGCTTTAGTATTAATACGGACCATTATACAGACACTTGCATATCTTTGTAAGGTCCTAATCATCTAAGCATGCGTTTCTACCGATATTTAAACATAGCCTATGCGTGTGTAGCTGGCGGCGCCGTGCGGGCCGGTGCGGCCGCATGTTTGAGAACCGTTACACCGTAGCAGGCCTACGGTAGCCTCGAGGCTTCCGCGACACGATGATTCTATCACTGCCGAACTGTCTGATTCGGCCAGATCAAGAGAGGATGTATGCAGCTAGCTCGGAACAAGGACAGAGTAGATTACATAATGTCTTACGATCACGTGAATTCTAACAATAGGGCCTATCACAGTAGCGGTTTTGATGGGGATTTGGAGTGGTTTTGATGGGGATTTGAGAAGGCGT